TAAAAAATAAAAATCCTTAAGTTAAATACTTACTAAATTACTGAATTTCAGTTTTAGATAAGCCGTCCGTTATCGTTTTATTTCGTTAATGACTCATTAAACGATTAAAACCGGCGAAAAAAACAAATTATCTGTTTCTATAAATCGCTGTACCTCTCTTTCCGTGAACGTGGATCCTTTTCCGGAGGTATTTAGTCCTCCACCCATCACCAATCAACCTTTAGGCTAGGATCACACTATGCGTTTTGTCGGTTCCCGATCAACCGGAGCCAAACCGCAACACTCTAAAATAAAATAGGTTTAAATATAAAACGCGTTATCAGGGCCAGACTAGACCGATTTACGGAACCGATTAAAAACCGTCGGGAAGCGACCGCAACGTGTTGCGGCCCAACCGTCCGGTTGCGTTTCGGGATGTAAAGCACAACACATGCAATGCAATTTGTCCGATCACATTTGTGCGGATTATCGGTAACCGAAATTGAAAATTTTATGAATAATTAATAATCATTTTTAAATTTAAATAATTAAAAAACTTAAAATATATTTGTAATATACATATATATATATTATATTTTATTTATATTATAGATGTATATTATTATTTATTAGCATAATTAGTTGATACACGTTTTAAATAAAAACAAATAATTCTAATTACACAACCTTTTTATTATTTTTTTACTTATAATATTAGATACATTTCGTTTAAATAAAAAATCAGTTTAAAATTTAAATTTAAATTAAAAACGATTTTCGGGCTTTTTAATTTCATTTGTATATATTCGGTTACCGATAAAACGCACAATATGATCGATCGTCCCGATTGCGGTTAATCGGGATAGTATTTTTCGGTTGCCGACAAAACGCATAGTGTGATCCTAGCTTTAGACCACTACAACACACCGTCCATCAATAAAGAACCATTTCCAAGTACCAAAGTTCATATACTCCTCCCTTTGACATAAGTGGAGGCTTCGCATTCTCGGCGCTCAGAAAGTATTATTTTGATTATTCACACAAACCCGGTAATTACTTATAGCTAGGGTGCGCATTTATATGTATTTAAAACTCATATATATATATGTGTGTGTGTGTGTATGTATTTATTTTTATCCAAATATGTAATTGAAACTATAAGATATGTAAAAAAAAAAATCAGAATCGCACGAAACATTTTGTTCGGGAATTCACGCTCGTAAATCATTACAAAGTTTCTTTTTTGGGAGCAACTTTTGGCATTTTTAATAAAACGCAGATGCAAAAAATACGAAAATGAATGCACTGATATAACACTTCTCGAATGCGAGTAGACGTTAACAAGTAACAACTAACGACTTAATACGTTTATCGAAATGTGTACATTATTACTGCCGCCCGGACGCGATAATACGCGATAACGACCACATATTACATACAATAATATGTATAGCACGGTCGTTAATATATATTATGTTAAGCCCGACTTTAATATACAGATATATATATATAGAACATATAGGCGCATGGTGCATAGATTAGAATGATTAGATAGTCGAGTAACGCACGACTGGCGCAGTATATTTTTAACCGGATTTAATGGCGACAACGATGATTTTCTCAATATCGGGGAATGTTTGATAAAAATATGTAAGTAAATTATGTAAAAATATGTAGTATACTCAACAATAGCTTAAATCATCCAGCTGGCCCTGAAACGTGTTTTTATCGAAGAAATAACGTTCGATTACCATAACTCGTCATAAATAAGTATATATACATATAAATCCACAGTTCACACCCTACTTATAACGCTATTCATAGATACCTAGCTGATCTGACATACAGATCATATTTCACACTTTTTATCTTATTGCCCAAATCGTCAAAACTGAAGGCTATAGCCCATAAGCGCAAATAAATTTTACAAAAATAAAGTGTATTCTATAAGTTAGATAAAAGTTTATACTGTATATATTGTGTACGTAGGCGTAGAGTGGTGAAATTTTTTAGGGGGGCTGTAGCTCTCTTAGGGGTGTAGACATGTACCAACTCGTGAAGAGCTTGGTCTGCATTTTGGGGAGGACTATTTTCCGAACCATTTTAGCGTTTTAGCCCCCCTCCCTAAATACGCTTAGTTATCTTAAATGATTATCAACCTTCATCGTAATTCGTTACGATAAAATACGTTAAGATAATACTAAGCTTCAACTGAAACTCGGTCACTGATGATGCATCTTTGAATTATAAAAATTCTATATATTTAATTAAAATGAATAATTAAATTTAATAATTAATAATTTTAAAATAAAACTTATAGTTTAACGGGTAGATACAATATTTATTTTTGCGCTTTTATCCCATTACTAAGGTAAAAAAGCGCAAAATGAATTTGTGCTTTTCGCCCTTTTCGGTTTCATCGAAACCGAACAGTGTATTTATCAGGTACCTTCACCCACCCACCTCTGTTGATGACATCAATAAACAGCTTATCAGATTAAGGCCATGAAGTTATTCAGGTCACGAATATCTAGATCGTATCACAAAGTTCCCGTTGTCTTTCTTATTCAAATCGATTTATAAGTCGTCGATCTTAATGGCGATTTCTTTAGACTGGACCCGCTCCTTTACATTAAAATATCGATTTTCCAAGAAAAAAACTCGCCCTCTACAATGCAAAGATCTCCAAGCTTAACTTCCATACAAGTAATTTTTGCCACCAGTCCGCTCGTGTTAAATACGGTAATAACCATTTATCCTCCAAATACACGAAATCGCAATCGGATCTGGTAAAGTGTGCTCTATGCGCAAGACCGTACACAGCCTCTTGTAAAGGCTATCCCGTGTATAAAAACATTTAAAAAAATCCCAAGACAGCCAAATGGAATAATCACCCCACTCCAAATATCACCATACCGCCTTCAACACATATGAAGCCCAATGTTGATAACAATCAAAATTCAAAATATATCAAACGCTGACACCACAGTCAACACAACATCATTCATCTCATAATATCATCAATACATTTATTGAAGAGTTAAAATTAATTCTAAATCCTCTTCTACTGGCTCTACAATATCCCTAATTAACAAAATTACAAAACCTATCGTTTTCATCTCCATAACACCTCCTAGGCACTTACTTCAAAAAAAAAAAAAATAATAAATAATTATAAAATAATAGATAAAAAAATAATACAAAATAATAAATCAAATAATAGATAAAATGATCTCTGTTAATTACTCTCTCTTCTAGTACATATAAGCTACTTTTATATACTACACCAAATAATTTTCGAAACTAATTGTTGGCGCAAAGTTTAAATAAGTAAAAAAAAATCTGTAATTTAGCCGTTGAATTTGATTTTCTGTTATCCAATCTTCTGGTTTCTGGTTTTATACGTCATGTTTTTTGTGAATAGTAACCATAATCAATTCACGTATTTCAGATAATACGATAAATGTGCATAAATGTTGACTAAAGTTACGTACCAAAATAGTTATTATGCATTATTAATATTATACTATACAGGTGCGCTGAGAAGCTGATGATTATTTTGTTATTGATATAACTTGTACCAAATGTTTAAATTACCTAAGCTTATGCAATGTACTATTTATTTAAAAATATCATAAGCCTAAATGATGCTCGAGATAGAATTACTAATTCCAATTCAAAATATTCCAAATCTATGTAAATAATATTTTGTATTATGTTACCGTGTTAAATTGCCCTAGCTGTTGGTCCGTTGAGCGTTAGGTATATTTTAAATGGTGAGTAAATAAATAAATATTACGTGCGTATAGTTATATAAACATATTAATACCTGTATAGATTACATAACAGTTTAAATTGATTTTAATATTTTGTTTGATATAATATTCTAATATAGGTATTTATATAATCATGCAACAATAGCTGCAGTTATAATACGTTTCTCTAATATTATTATCTATAATATAGTAAACAATAATGTCGAAAAAATTATAAAAAACAGCAATGAAATAATATCACGATTTACGACCATTGAATGATGTTCTCTAGAAATCGTTAAACATGATATTTTTTAAATAAAAGGAAAGTATGCATTGCTTTAATATTATTATCTTAATGGTAAGTAATATCATAAATTAAGTGGTACTTAATAATATACGTGAGTGAGAAAACTTGAGTATTTACAAGTTCTCGATAATTTTCAGAAATACCTAAATAAGTTTTTCGAAGATTTACGTTCGAATTTCAAAGTAGTAATAATATGTACTAAGTAATAACTCACGTTTTAAACGTTTAACCAATAGTTAACGTTTTCATAATAATAATATGTTTATTGTACCTACTCCATGGACAAGTGTAGGGATGTACCGTGTACACTTGCTGTACTGCCTATTAGGTCTTCACACGTGCATATTATGGGTTATTACTGCCTATTGGTTTACGTCGTGTTACACGTACACTCGTATATTAAATAATGCATAACTATTACCTGTGTTGTTTTATTTAATAAATAGTAATTGTTTGCTCTGGATTAATAAATAATATTACTCGACTACCAAATCGACTTTCCAGAACTTTAGAGTCGAACACTTTTCAATGTCCCTATAGTGTTAAAACTCGCGTGTCTCAAACATTCTTTACAAACACCTAACGGCAGAATTATTGTAGCTTTTTTGCTCCGATTAATAGCTGAATGCTGATTACGAGGGAGTTCATTACAAAATTTTGATTTCTTCGACGACAACCCAATCCGGTTAAAATGTTTATCCAATTTCCTTGTAAAATTTACACATCAATTTTTCTCATCAATAATAATTATTAATCATTTGACTTGAATTATTATGACTGTATAAGTAAAAATTATAATGTATAAACTATGGTAAGCCGCCCATCAGGACGTTTATTATCAATAAAATAATAATTATATGCGTGAAAATTTTATATGGTAGGTAACTATCAATGTTTTATGCATACACAAGAAATGCCCACCAACACGCTGCGTTCAATCATTATAATATTATATATTTCTACAAACTGTAATAACACTATAATAACTAAATAATATGCATGTGCAGTGTACGTACCTGTCTGTATAAACTGCAGTCACGGAATAATTGGTCATCGAAATAAATACAATAAATAAGTATAGTGCACAGTACACGGCGAACAACAAGCGGGGGCGTTTCGTATCAATGTTATAGCGGTCCGCGCCAGGTTACCTACTTGGTCCATTCTCTTTGTACGCGCGAGTTCAAGATGATCTAATAATTACCTTGACATTTGGCGTCAAGTGCACTTCTTGCTTTTCAATCTCCCCATTAGATGAGTAGAGGTACCTAGATTATATTATCATGCCAAACGTATAATTTTCTGCCCGCCCGACGCCCAGACATGAGTTTATTAAAACGAAATAACCGTCTTCACCGACACCGCTCCGATATAGTTTTGAACTGGCAGCCGACAATCGACGAAGACTTGAGTTAATTTTTGCGCGACAAGATGAAGATCGTCCTACAGGTAATGTACAATATCGCAATACGTGTAATATAATATAGGTACCCGTAAAATATTATATCAAAAACGGAAACAGTGTTAATTAAAAAAAAAAAAATAATAATAATCTATAATAATTATGCACAAATCTATTACTTATACTCATTATATTACATTATTAGTTGCACGCGTCAGTAAAATATCTATAAATTACTCGATTACAATAATATTTGATTTCCTTTTAAAATTAATGACTAAAAGCCTCACGGATATATACAAAACAACTAGATATTATATTGTTTTATATGCCTGTAGTATAAGTCATAAAGTCTATGGTTAATACAAAAATTAGCAATTTTATTTAAACGTAAGTTTTAAATGACCTATTAACGAATGAAAAATAATATGCAGATAATTTTTTATGGTCCATATAGACATCCGATGCCTATAGGTATTTGGTATTAGCGTTAGTTTTAGAATATTACACTAACTATAATTACCATTATATTCTAATATCAATAGTATTATAGGTATCTACCTACATTATATTAATTAATTTAATTGATTTAATTTTGTGTTGTTTTTAGCTAATCTTATCGCTCGCCATACTATGGTCGAAAACACTTTCTCAAAATTACTACGTTCCAATAGAAGAAAATGAGGTATTTGCATTTATTTCATACGTATTTATTCACGAACCGCGAATCGATAAATCATGATGTAATCAATAATATTATACAATTTGAACAATAGAAGTATTTTTATCCGCTATATGGTCTGGTTTACAGTTAGCATATGAATTTCATTACAACATCAATGATTTACTCTCGGGTGTTGTAACACACCGTTGGGAATCGAAGTATGGTGATTACGTAAGAGGATCGTATAGTTTTCTAGAGCCTAATGGTTTGATTAGAAATGTGAACTACGAAGTCGACGGAAAGCGTGGCTATAGAGCGATAACAAAATTTTTGAAACCACGACAAAGTAAATATATTATAATAATACACTTTTCTAAGCATGTCATTATAACCATAGAGTTTAGACATTTATTAGATAAACGATAATATAATAATCATATAATAGGTACTTACCGTTACCTTTATTGCAAGAATGTTATATTCTGAACTCGAATAATAATTATAGATATATTGTATCACAATATGAGATGGTGTCCAAACCGACAATAATTTCTTTCCATAGGTATTTGATTACAAATTTCAATATTTCAAGACAAATAACAAAATCATAATAATAATTTGATGAGTAAAAAAAATCACGAAAAACGGTATAATGCGTTTATTTTAGCAAAGTAAAAATATTAGTTATTACTTATTACTATCAAACAGTTTGATGGGTATACTTACATTTGATTAAATTTAATACTGCAAATCATTCAGCTTAAGCGGTCCATATACCTACCTAAAACGGTGTTTTATAATAAAACACGTTACCTATACAATATATTATAATAATATAGGAATTAGGAAGTTAAACGTGATTATTAATTGCTAAATAATAATAATTTTTTTTCAGTGCCTAAATTCAACACATTACAACCTTCCGAAGTACCAACTAAGTAAATATTTACGATTACCTACACATTGCCTATTCGTTTAACGATAAGGTATAGGCCCCAGGTTTACTTTTATCGATTTTTCAAACTTTTTTACGTTTTTTTTTCAATTATTTATACTTTATACATATATTAAGGTTTATAATAATTAGTAGGTAATAAACTATGTAATATAAGTATAATATTTTGTATTTATTGTAAGTAAATACCCATTATAATACTGAATAATTTAAATAATATTTTAAAACTAGTAGGTGTAGAGGTTTATAATATTGTATATAGATACGTGTACATAATAATTAATATTTATACTTATACGCTGTAGTCTCAAACATATTTGTATCTCCACAGTAATAAACATATATTAAACTAAACTGAACTATTCTAGAAATGAAATACGGTTAATGCTTCATTCTGGTTACCAAGGTGACAATTTTTGATTATTGCATCAATAACTAACACAGTATAACGATAAATTGCAGCCTGTGTGATGGCTAATGTAAAACGCATAATGTATAACTAAAACCTTTTGTTTGTAATCGTTTAAACTTCATTTATAAATCTTAAGTATGGAAGAACTAAAAGACAAAAGTTTACATTTGACCGCCGAAAAACTAGCTGAAGAACTTCAAAAAATGGATATCTATAATGAGTTTTATGAAGATTTACAGGTAAGTACCTATATAACATATTAATATACGTAAGATGTATTATATTTATATACTTACCTACATTTTTAAGAATGTGTGCTAATACAATATAATATAATCATAATTAATAATTAATTTACTTTGAAATTTTAACGATAACGAAACATTAGTTTTATATTATCGTAAAGCATTTAGATTTTATTATTTTCTATAGTAAGTTTTCAAAATATTTTCAATTTAATTTTCTTAAGAAATCAGTGTGTAATAAAAATGTCTTAACGTTCTATCTTTGCCGACTATACGTCTATACTGAATATTATAGTAATCACCTAATATTTATTTTGATCTTCAATTGTGTTAAATATCTAAATCACATGTCATTTTTTGTCTTTATTCCATAGGCTACATATAATATTATCTATTTGGGTAAGGTATAAATTGTATTCTTTATTTTTAAACCTATACCTATACTTGCTTTTAAATTCTGAGTCGTAAAAATCAGGAACATTTTTAATTTTTTTTATTCCTTAACATTCATAAAGCTTGAAAGTACCTACCTACCTATAATAATATGAAATTTTTCTATGGTTTTAAAAATAAAAATTTTAGATTAAATTTACATACGTACATTTTTCATAATTTATTGAAGTTCATTCAAATGTATTATTATAACAATCTATCCTTTAACAATTTTTATTATTTTCTATACGCAATGGTATTTTTGATACATTAAAATTAATTTTAAGTTATTGTACATTATTAACATATTATCTTCACACAATTATGTTATTCTACGATACGTCGATATTAACTTGCCCACTTTTAAACGTATAACAGTTAGAATATAACATTACATTAAATAATTACAATAAATAATGACTACTACCTATATAATGTATTAAATTTATCTTTGGCAAAAATTAGTTCAACCTGACGTATTAATAGCAATGTATTATGTAAGTATGTAATAAAATTTTTTAGAAATGCCATTTGAGAATCATCCTTCATCTTAGGCGCGATTACAGAAAATCATAAATTTAACACATCCATTTCAGAGAACTATGACCTATTACTCAATAACGAGATACACATTGCACCCACTACACGGCAAAACGACTTCCCAGTTTTTGTAATGTACCTATTTGAAATTTTAATGATAGGTATATCATATTTAACCACTGATCATATTATATTATGAATTATGATATAATATAATATAATAATAGTTTACAAAATATAAGTACAATTCTACAACAGTGGATAGGTATACCTCTACTCTCAAGTGTATTTTTTTGTGTGCAGTCTTGGTGTACACTGCACAGTTGTAGTCAGTGAAAGTTAGATGATATTTAAAATATACACCGAAAAGTATATTATAATTAAATATTATGTCGCGTGCGCGAGTGAAGTACATATGAAATTATTAGGCACTTCTAGATATATCAACAAGTTAATATGATTGATTTTCAAATCTCGAGCTATAATAACTTTTAACAGTAGCTATACCAGCTAGTAATACTCACTAATATTACATTAGTGACTACTAATTACCTATAATTAATCGCCCCTGTGGGTATAGGGGCTCTTTTGAAAAAAACGGCATTATACCACTGCTCGAAGTTTTGATACTATAGGGATAATATTATACGTATATGGCTGAAATAGTGTAGTACTTAATTAAAAAAAAAAAAGATTAAAACTAACAATTTAAAAATTATTAAAAAATTATTAATCGATAAAAAAAAAAAGTAGGCATAAACGTGTTCGGTATGGTGAATTGTAAATGTAAAGTTGCCTATATCAGTACCTGCAGCAAGAGGATTCTATCACGTCGTTTCATTAGCTATTACAATGCATATATCTACGTCTTATTCGTCGTACAGTTTGTTCGCGTTCGTGAAACAGAACAACGGCGTATAATAAAATATTAATTAATCGACATGACGACACCATGAACTAAAACATTATTATCCTGAATCTTAGTTCATGATCATCGCGAGTCGCGACACCGCGACAGTGATTGATTATAACAACCGCGCGATGATATTATATGACATCGCGATTATTATAAAGGTAGTTGTGATTTTTGAATGCCGTAGCGCAATGATGCAACATACTTAACCTATTGTATTATGTAATTCCGACCGTAATATAATGTAACCAAATCGTATCCATCGATTTAGATGCTAGCCGCCTCCCAAGACGTATCCATAGATGACTTCAAAAAGACCCTGGTGCAAGCAGTGAACATGGGCAGCATGGAAACCAATCTGAGAAACGCGGTATTTCATTGGTTGAGAAGTCACGGAAACAATAAACAAATTGTGGTCAGGGACGAAATGACGAGTAGAGAGTCGTTAGATTATTTGAGAAAAGCTCAAGTAACGTAAACACAATATTGTATAAAACAATGACATATATTTATAACAAAAACACGCGTAGGCGTACGCATTGCAAGTAAAGATAGACTAAAATCGCGTGTGTCCTGTAATATAGACTTTGAAGTTAGCAGTTTCTATTATTAGAACCATTAGAAACCACTTTATTTTTTAACAATAAAATTATAAACATAAAAAAAAACAATATTTTGTACTACAATAACTTCATTCGGCAACCCAAAATCTACAAATTAAATACTAAATTATTTTTAAAGTATAATTATATTATTATTTTTATATTTAGTAATGAACTATTCACTACCTATTATTAATATTAAGAATGGCGATTCTTTGAACGAAAATATTTAATGAGCAATTTGAAATTACTTCTAATTATATCAAATAATAAATCTGCAGGACATTGAGTAAATTGAGTTATCTGTATTTTATAATAATAATAATAAAGGTGTCACATTGCATCTGTACCTAAATTAAACCCATAAAATAAACTTATAGTAACTATTAGGTACCATTACGGTATATCGTTTTTTTTGTATTATAATAATGATGAAACATTAATGTAACATAAAAATTATTAACCGTGACTAAATATTCTTGTGGGCTATTTGTAAGATACTTATTGCTCCCGACTTGAAACTCAGCGCACGTCTACGAATATAAAACACATTTGAACGTAAATGTTTATATAAACCTATAGATCACCTGGGAAAGGAGGATACAGAAATCATTGGAATCAATGTGCGAAGAAATAGGTATAAATCTATCTTGCCTTAGGTCCAGTGCTGATCGAGATGAAATGTTACAAAAATGGAATGAACTGAGTACATACAATACAAGTAAGACTACGTTTGTTTTTTTATAGTTCTTCCATGCAACTTGTTTTGTGTTATTTTAATTTAAAATATCGCACAATTATATGAATATAATTACTGTCAAAATGGATATTCCTATAAAATATTTAAAAAGTTATATTGTGTTTTAAGGCTTAGAAAGACTGAGACCGGTGTACGCGCCAAAAGATTTTTTAGAAGTGTTATTTTCATTGCACAATCCAAACTACCGAATGATATCGTAAGTAATACCTGCTCACTAACTGTTATACCACTAAAAGATAGACTCAAAAAGTATTGACATAATTTGAACATGTATATGTTTTTGGGCTGGATACAATAATTTTATTTCTTACCGATTTCGTGACGTCTTATAAATTCGTTCCCTTTAGAAATCTGCTCATTCACTGTTATTATTATCATTATTTTTTTTAATCGGAATTTCCATAAAGTTACCCCCAACAACTTATGATTTATGTAATTACTAAACTATATATTAATCATAATTTTAAAAAAAACATAATATACCCAGTAGCGTAGACAAGGGGGTTTGATGTTTAACCCCCATTGTCTTTCTACATCTAATAAATGTATTATTTATATTATTGTATATTTCATTAATTCTATTTTCATATTAAGGTGATAATAATATATTATAATATTGTATATTCACAAGTTTATAACTAAACTTTGTTCTTGAACAGTTCAATTGGACAACAAACATATTTACGAAAACTGTAAAAAATTAGGTTAAATTTTCACTAAACACAAAAATCCTGGCTACGCCACTGCATATACCTACCTATTTATACATCATATAGATATGATTTAATGTTTTTATATTGTTAATTGTACATTATATTATGTTTATATATTATATATTAAATATACATTTAATAACTGCAGCACTTAAACACAATATACAATACTTACTTTAAAAAATAATATTGAAATCTTATTCTTGATTGGAATATATTGAACCTGAAAATGGTATTAAATATTAAACGATAAAAAGTGTTTAAACAATATTTTAATTTGATTTAGTGATGATATGGTATGGGATTTTTCGTATTTGCCGCTGAAAGTTAAAACATTACCAGAACTCGTAAGTTATTTAATAAATGGATAACTTTTATTATTCACTACCTATATTTTATTTAAACTAATTTATTTGAAAGTTCAACAATCAGTTCTTAGTGGTGTATCCAAGAAGTTTTATCTTGTGTTTATGTTTGAGTTGAGCACGCAAGGTACGCAAATAAAATTAATATTTGAAATTATTTTTTCTATCAAACAACCAACTAAATGTATTGACATTTTTGTTAAATATTTCAATTCGTATTCCCTTTAAAACCGTTTGTACGACATCATTTTACACACTATTTGATAGTTTAATCGCGAGATAGTAAAGGTGTATATTATATTTATGTATTCTTGGATAATTTCGTCGGTAGGGTAGACGGTTACTTGCTCTAAGCTCTTGGATACGTCGCAATCAGAGCGTCAGCTTTCAACAGTGCCTATACGGTTTAGCCGCAATTTAAATAGTTTTATAATGTCGCTTCATTTTTAGAGACACCATTACAGAGATTTGGCCACTGCCGATTTGCTGTTGGGCTTGACGTGCTGTCAATGTCTGACGACGCTGTCGTGCGGGTCAACGTCGCAGGGAGAACAAGAACGAATCGCTTTGGGAGAAAAAGGTTCAACTAATAAATTCACGGCGTGCCTTGTGGATTACCCCTCGGTGTGAAAAATATACGAGTAAATATTTATCTTTTCAGTTTTGAAACATCAGCATGCACCGGTATGTCAAGAGTTTCTGAAATTGGGTGCACCGCGCAGCCTCCGGGGTAGACTCTGGTCACAGATTCTAGGGTCCAGTTCAAAAACTTCGGTATGAATTACAGCTGCGTCAAATTGTTAAATGTTGTTCACTCGCGTAACGAACGTCGCCTATATATTTTGTTCAGGAACATTACTCGGAATTGAAACAACGCGTATTGCACTACGATATGCTGATCGACAAATTGATCACCAAAGATGTTCAACTGACAGCGTGCAACGACGACCAATACTTCGTGTTCGAAGACGTCTTACACCAGGTATCTGCGATCAAAGGTTCTCTTCGATAATTTTTTGCATTCCTAGAAAATATTTGTTGATGGACGGGTTTATATCGTTCATAAATTAAAATGACTGTATATAGGTATAAAGTTGGGTTGAACGGTTTTAAATAAGCGAGTTTTTGATAAATACATGTAATATGCATATTATAATGACCCACAGACGAAATCCTAAATATACCACTGGTGCGTATATATGCTAGATTAACAATTATGCCTACTAAATGAAATAAATAATAATATAATTAGCCTATTAAGTACATCGTCAATATTCTCATACCCATGTTTGGTGTTTAGATCATGTTGTGTTTTACTCGCGACACTGATGTATTGTCAGTGTTCAACAACTCGACCAGCCATCCAATCCTTACATCGTTGAAGGGTAAACCACCTATGGAGGCAATTTATCCTCCCAACGGCATTATACCTTTCCACGGATTCACAATGTACGGTAAGGACTGAGAACAATCATAATTGTAGGCGAAAATTTCAAACATCTTGTATAGTAGTACCTAGGTAGTATAACTGCGTAAGCCAAAAATTTGGGCTAGTGCCTAGTAATGCCTCAAATAAAATTAAGAACTATAAATAATAGGTATAATACCTATACAGTTATAACTTATAAGTTTTAAATAATAGTGGTTAGCAGTGGCGTACGTGTGGGGGGAAGGGGGCATTCGCCCCCCTCCGTGGATCGTATAATTATATGTGACTTCCCTACTAATATTTATTCGGAACGGTCCAGTAATGAAAAAACTTTTTTTTTCTATTCACCCTTCCCTCTAGGAGATGAAGTAAATTCGCCTCTGATTGTTAGCTTATAATGGTTTTTTATCGGTTAGTTTCAAGTTTGTTGTTTTACTTTTTATTTATATGACAGTGTATAATGAAATTGTGATAGCATGGCGATTGAAGAGTGTGACAGTGTGATCCTGTACTATCATGTAGGTACCCTAACTAGACATATTGTGCTATGCTACTTTAGTCTTTTTAAGCAACAATTGTCAATTTGTGCTCTTATGAATAAAATGCTATTAGTAAATGTGAAATTTCTTATGTTTATCCGCTGTATAATATTCACAAAAAATGAACCGCCGTCCGTTGTTCACTTTTAGCTGCCCCCGTTTGCTATTTGTTCAACGACCCTGTACCATTGTACTACACGTTCAGAGCGTTCTACTTGCGTTACTGGTTCAGATTGCATGTAATAAGCTCACATCCGCAAAGCATACTTGGACTATGCATTCTGTTCCAGCGACTTTTACAGAGACACGAGACAAAGATTTGGTCGCATTTTATGAGCCACAACATTCACCCGTAAGTATTTTAAATATACCTATTGCGTATTAGCACCACCCACATTAGATATCTTACTGTCGATTATGACTCTATGTGTATATCCTAAAATTCTACATACGTAATAAAGATCAATCAATAACTCACGTTTCCTTACCTGTCAGTATCAGAGTGGTATTCAAATGGCTCATGAAGGGATTCAGTGGACATCTACTTCCAGAACAGTTACTTAACCTTTGGGATATGATCATAGCATATGATTCGCTGGAAGTATTGCCACTTTTGGCAGTTGCGATTTTAAGTTTCAGAAAAGACAATCTGCTTCAAGTTAACACGTTACAAAACGTAGATGTAAGTAATGTTATGGTTATGTGAAAAAAAATAATGCTACAGTAGTAGAGTATTGATTATTCTCTATATAATTGGGAGACTAGAACGTTTGGTTTATTTAATATTTTCAATTAATTGGAACTATAGGTAAAAGTAATTTTATAAATTAGTGTAATAGATTAAACATACCTTTACTAAATAGTTTATATCAATTTTTAAATGTATTATTCAGATTTATTCTTAGAATTCCTGATTCATAATAACTGGGTATTTAATTAAATAAGATATTTTTAATTATTCAATTAAATATTTGTAAATTGTTTTTTTATAATTTTTATTGTTCAACTGGTTAATAAAATAATCAATATTCTACTGAAATTATTATTGTTATAACTAATAATAAATAAAACAAATTTAATAATGATTTTTATTTTATTTTATTTTTTTTAGTCTGTTCTAGTAGATTTATCATCGTTAAACATTATGTCTTTGCTACAATTGGCACTAAAAGGACCGATTAAAATCTAATAAAATATGCTCATAAAATAAATGTTCAACTTTAAATAAATAATTTACAATTAAAATTTAATAAAACAAACAAGTACTTTTAATTAACAGACAAAATTATACACTAAAACAATTACATTAAATATACATTCCTACTCTTACTAACATTAAATATACATCAACATTGGCTGTTAGATAATTATTTGATAAAAAAAAAAATAATAACAAATGAGTAAACTTACATAGATATTATCTAGTAGTTTGTAAGAATTTTTACTGAACTATTCATATATAATAATTTAAAAATAATAATTGTACATAGAACTTTAACATTTAATCAACATAATGCAATATTATCAAATAAAAGAGTAAGTAGAATTTAACAGCACAGTTTAAATAAAAATAATTTCACAATAACATAAATAAAAGATGCAAATTGAGATATAAAAAATAAACCACCATACCTTAATTAAAATAATTTCTAATGTTTAGTTTGGTAAACATAATCTGTAGTATTGAGATCCTTACAAAATTTCTTTGAAAATTTTATTTTAACATTTAACACATAGAAATTATTTAATTTTTATTTTTCTTAATAATTGTAACTAATCAATATTCAACCAATTTAACTATGATTCTTCAATAAAACAACAGTACATGATATGTTGTCTAAAAATTTGTAATCAACAACTCAATATTGTCAAAAGCATAGAGACATAATAGCTAGTTACTATGCATATGGTCAGAAGTATAATTTTTAAAATAGAATGGTGAAAAGCACTAAAACTTACAACAATTAGTAACTTTAACAGATCTAGTAGTTTTCATATCTTCTAGGGTATCAGGTAATACTGTTCCTTTTGTCTCAGGCAACATTAGAACCAAACTTGAAACAAAAATACCTAAAATTCCACACACTGTACTTGGAATATACCAAGCTTTAGCACCCTAAATAACAAAAAATTAACAGTTAATTTCAACATTAATCTTTGCTACACAGTATCTATGCATTAATGACCATTAACTATGAGTTATTACCAATAATTCAACTACGTATGGTGCAATAACAGATCCTATTTGAGAAATAGTCAATGATGTCCCAAGGCCAGTATTTCTTATTGTAGTTGGATATAATTCTGATATATAAAGCAAACTAACTGAAAATACTGCACTCACACAAAATTTTCCAAGCAAAGCAACAATTAATAATAAATTAGCACTTTCTAAAAAAACAAAAAAATTTTAATTTATTAGTACAAGAATTTAAAATCAAACATATATTTTATCTTTCATATTATAATACATATACATTATTTACCTCGTGGTATCATCAACAATGCAAGTTGTAAAATTCCGGATGTAAAAAATAAACCAGAAACTGCTATTTTGCGTCCAACATATAATAATAATGGAATAGTTGATAAGTATGCCAAACCTTCAACAACTCCATTTAACGCAACATAATTGTAACGATCAGCAGTAATATTATCACCATTTAATGCTAATAAATAAAAATAAAAAGATATTATTTTATTTTAGCACACTTAAGATTATATTATTTTGAATTCATTAAATTTATAAATTTATGGCACAAACATTTTTTTTAAATAACCTACTATGAAATGTTTGTGTTATAATGATAACTAAATATAATTGTTTATTTAGAAATGTGTTATTATTAATTAAACATAATATTATTAGATACCATTTAAATGATAAGCCAATGAAAAAAAAAATGTTATAATTAATTTATAATTCTAAAAGGAGTCCAAAAACTTATATTATGATAAACACATTATTCTATATAAATAGTTTTGTTTAAATAAAGTAAGAAAGTATATTTTGGTAATAAAGTCAACAACATTTTTTTTAATTTTTGTTAATTAATTATCTTATCATGTAAATAAGAATAAATATTCAACTTACCAATAACGTAGTATGAGAGACCACAAACGAATCCACAAGAAAAAGAAATAATCGTCTTAGCAGATAAATCCCAAGTAGAAAATAATGTAGTAAAAGTGGACAAAAACTCCTTACACTTCCCTTGACTCTGTTTTGACTACTTTATTAAAACAAAATATTTGTTAAAATAAAAGTGATTATAAAAAACATAGAATAAAATATATTAAAATATAAACTATAATTTATATATAATTTAGTGAAACCTCCCTTAACAGATATCTCCAAATAGCCAACATTTTTCAGAAACTGGAACATTTTCATTGTTTAACTATGGAAAAACTTCTAAATAAGGGACAGTCTACATAACGGACACTTTGATGGCAAGAGTTTGATAATTTTTACCATAAATATCATCTAAGTATAATACATAAATAATAATATACAGTTGAACTTGGTTAACTTGAAGTTGAAAGGACCAGAAAAAAGTTCGAGTTATCCAAATTGAAAATTTTTAAAACTGTACAAAATATATTAATTCCTATATATTTATAATGAATAAAGTAATGTATTAAAAAATATTTACTGTGTGTTTATATATGAATTATGTATATGTAATTTTAAAGAGGTATGTATCTATATATAAATAAAAATGAGGTTAGAAAATTATTTCAAGATGATATTTATTTTTGTTTGAGTTTTGCTGTTGATTGCAGCGTTTGTAATGAATCGTTTTAAAACATTTATCGGTAACGATGGCACTAATGAGTAATGACCTTATTTTCGATATTAAAATATATACATAGGTACATGAGGAAAATATCACAATTTTATAACATTAATAAAACTCAAAACTTTGAGTTATCCACAAAAATATTTGAGAGAAATTCTAGGGACCAGAGAAAAAGTTTGAGGTATTGACGATTTTAAGTTAAAGAAGTTTGAGATAACCAAGATCGACTGTATATCATAACAATCATCATTATCATATCATTATAACAATCATTATCATGTATATTATAACAATGTACATTTATCATTGTTATACATTATTAAATTATTATCTGTCATAAAAAATGACTTGTCTCATTCAGTAACTGATTTTGTTTTAAATAATATAAATATGCATATGTGTATCATGTTTTTGAAATGTTTTGGTGTTGTTCATTTTTTTGTTTATCACTTTACTACCTCCAATAAAGGACAAAATATTAGAGGTTTCACTATATATTTATTATATTATCTCATAAGATATTGGGTAAAAATTAATGTGATTGATCATTAATTTCAAAACTGTAATTGACAAACCTTTCTAATTTCAATAATATCTTGATTATCATTGTCTATGTTAGCATGAATAGCAGAAGGGACGAGCTTAGTCATCACTTTCCAAGCCTGTCTTTTTCTACCTCGAGACATCAACCATTTTGGAGATTCTGGTAGAAACCTAACAATAAATATTAAGATAAACGAATAAATATAAATGTGCTTCTTATATAAATATTAAAATAACAAAAATAACAAATAACATGTATAATTATATTAAATAATACAACTTTGAACTTACCAACATTGTATCAACAATCCAAACATGGGCAAAGACAAAACTAAAAGCAATATTCTCCAAGGCCGTACATAATAAGCAATGATTGATAGTAAAACATAACCAATTGGATACGACATATTCATTAAAAGACAAAGTAATGTACGAGTTTTACCACTTGTCAGCTCAGTCACTATAATTAACAAAAAGTTTAAACTTTACTAACATAGAGTATTATTTATTTAAAATTTTAAAATTAATCTATTTTATTATTACATATTGTATAAGATGATTCATATATTCCAGATCCAGCTACACCTATCAAGAATCTTGCAATTAAAAATAATACATATGAATCAATCAACGCAGCAGATGGTCCCGAGAACATGTAAATAAAAGCTGCTAAATTGAAAGCAAATTTTCTGCCATATATATCTGAAATTGAACCAAAAAATAGCCCACCAACAAACTTTCCAAAAGCAATAGCTGCTTGAATATTTGACTTCTTCACTACATTATCACAAACTAAATTCCACTAAAACATTTTATAGATTGATTTTAGTAAAATAAAATATTATAGGTACCTAATTTCAGATATTATTATTAATTTGAAAATAATATTTACGTACTTCAGATACAACAGATTCTCTGTTACTATATTCATAATACTGACAAGGTTTAGAATTGGCAGTTTCTAAATTATTTATTGACCAATTATAACCATTTTTGGCAAATATTGAATAATTTCGGTCGTAATAAGAACATTCTTCAATTCTGTCTGATGAATAATTTTGAGGCCTAAAAATATAATATTCATAATTTGGTATAAACATATTTTTGTTAACAAAATAAAAAATAATACCTACTAGAAATATTAATATATTATTTAATTAAATTTATTATAGTAAATTAACATTTTTGATAATACTAACATTTAATTCTAATTAAGCTGTTTTTACAATGAGTTTTCTATATTTAATATTTTAAAGATTTTTAAAATACTTTGAATATTTACAGACTACAAGTTGAAAGAAAATTAAATTAGATAACTACATAGATCAAATTTAAATAGGTATTGTATCTAATATTTATTTGAAATCATTAATTTCCAATCAATATGAAACTTAACTACAACTTCACTATAGTTACTTTAATTATTATTTCAGTCTTAAAGTTAGGACAGTTTACTTAAAACTTGATTTTATTCCTATACAATGTGTAAACAACTAAGCTCTTCACCTTTTTCTAATAAGTAAAGGGATCTTTCCAAATACTGAATAATGGTAACATTTAAAATGTAGTATTCACAATTTTGACTTTGTTTAATAAATTAGGTTTACAAATTATTGGGTACTTTAACTTATTAGTAATTTCCCACTATACTATGTAACATCAACACTTACTTTAACTACAATCTCTCTCCAAAAAACATATTATATATTTTAAAAATTAATTTAATTTTGGTTATTATTACAAACAACATGATTAGGGAATTCGAAGATTAATCTTCAAATGTTTAAAAGTTATATATATATATATACATGACTTAAAATGAAAGTTTAGTATACCGCGCGTTCAAGATTATATTTAATTAATATAAATAATTAATTTAATATATGTTTTGGTCAGTTTAAACTTTAAATGTATCTTGGTCTTACGATATAGAAACATTTAAGAGCATTTGATCACTCCATCCTGCCGCTTTTAGAACTGGTATATCACACCAGTACGAAGGTTTGTCAACCAGGAACACATATGATGAAATCTGTATAGCATTAAATATGCCTGGTGTACCGGCCATCAATAATAGTAGGAACGCTTGGTACCATTCTTTGGAGTAACTGTCAATGTATTTGTCCAATTTGTCGGCCATTTTGATGTTAGTGGTGCATGAAAGTAAACTAACTGTGCAAAAGAATTGCAATTATTACAGTGACCACAGAAATAATGATGTCAGTTATGTAATTCAAAATGAAAAAATACAATTTCATAAATTATATAAGAAAATAATTCGACTTAACATTTAACTCACATATAACCAGTTAACATTCCTCATCAGCAGTCACTAACAGTTTTGGCTTTACACCGTTGCATACAGAACTCGACATTTTCAGGTGAACGTCATATAACGTAACAGGTATTTCTACATCATAAATTGTTGTCGTTTGGTATTTATTATTGGTGACAATGGCATTTGTCGTCATAGTTATTGGTTTCTTAAAATCTTTGAGTAAATAACTATCTATTTATCTAAATATGTAATAATAAATGTCGAATGACGATTTTCGTGTTTTGCTGATAATATAAAACTTGATAACACGAAATATCAATTCACACGAATTATCAGGGAGTAAAAAAAAGAAGACCGATAGTGTAGTTGGTCAAATAAATTGTATACAATTATTATACTACTTATATCAGAATCAGACGTCCTTTTCGACTCTCCAGCACTCAGCAGTAATGACTTACGAGATTAGTTTGAAAAACCGATCCAAAAAAAAATTCTAAATGAAATCGTTAAATAATATTACAGTATAAAAACCTAGATATAACGGCTAAAACATATTATAATTTATGACTCTAATTCTATAGACTATAGACTATAACCATTTTACATTCTTACCTAGTATCGACTATAGGACGTCCTGTTTGCACAGCAATTAACTCTATAGTGACATATCTACCAAGTTGTAGCTATAATGTAAGTACCGATTTTTGCACCCATATAACAATAATAAATTGTACACATTCAACTTCAAGCCTCAGTACCTCACCTCACCATACACTTCTCATAAGCCATTGCAGTGTCATAGGCCTAACCTAACCCATAGGAACAAATTCTGAAACTAGGTAGGGATCTTCTATTAATAAGCGACTTTCATCATCTCCTCCAGTAGGTAAGCGTGAAACGGATGTAGGACAATTTCTCCCGGGACATTTCCATAACCCATTGCAATATTATTTGTATCATAGACACTATTGAGTATAGACCAGGGGTCACCAATTAATAATTTTTTAAGGACCACATAAGGAATTTGAAAATGTTTCGCGGGCCATCAACACTCTAAGACCTAAGTACATTTCTTAACATTCAATAGGTACCTATTATTTTAAAATTGGATTTAATGAAAACATTATTTTCTTAAATTTTATTTATATATATGTATATTACACTATAAAAGGGTGTTTCACGGTGAACTAACAATTGCAATAACTTTTCTTCTATTGAACATTTTCAACTTTTTTTTAAAATTATCAATTGTCATCTGCGCTACATTTAAATTAGTTTTTAGATTTTTTTTCTTAAAATTTGTATGCAGTAAAATTAAGAAACTAAAATATTTTCTTTTTGATATTTACAAAAATCAAAATAGCCATTTTACTGAAGTGATTTTTAAAAATGTTCGTACAAAAAAAAAAAAAAAAAAAAAAAAAAAAAAAATGAAAAATATTCAGCCGTTTATTTTCTACGATTTTTTGAAATTTGCACAATTTTATATTATTTAAATAGATTTTTTGGATAATCAATAATCGATAATCGCTGTAACACTGATAAACAAAAAAATAAATTTGAATTTAAATAAACTTTAAAAACTGTTTAAAAATTATTGACTCAACCTTAGTAGTTTTTGACATCAAAGTTTTTCTTAAAGTAGGATTTACAAAATGGCTATCTTGATTTTTTTAAAATTAAATAGAATATTTTAAATGCAGCGTAGACGACAATTGTTGACAATTTAAAAAGTTTAAAATGTTCAATAGAACAAATAACTAATAAGTTATTGCAATTGTCAGTTCATCGTGAAACACCATGTAGGTATATAAATATATGTTAGTTATTCTTTGTGTGTAAGTCGCCATTTGGTGACTCCTGGTATAGACTATAGTACTGTGTTGGGTACCATTGTACCATAAAAATCCAAAATTGTAGGTATCTAGAAAATTCCATCAAATCATATCTATTTAAGTCTATCAAAACGTGGAGTATCTATAATTATATTTATAGAAATAATTGGAAATTTATTCTGTTTTATTTAAATGCACTTTAAAGAAAATTAGATAAATAAATTATGTGTACTACGACTTACGAGTATAGATAAATACCTACGCACGTGGGAAGTGAAACTTCTTCAACAGAAGTAGGGCTTGTGTAATTTTATACATATAGGTACCTACGGAATTATAAGGAAAACATAAAATATATGATCAGCTTTCAGAAAAATTTAATAAAAAAAACTGTTATTATGTTTTTATTTTTGTTATTATTTTTTTTTTTTTTTTTTTTGATCGTGAAAACGCAAGTACAATTCGATTTTTTAAAACAAGTTATTGCCCTATAGTTATATTATATTAATAAATTAAAATAAAAAATCATATTTCTTCGATTTCTATCAACCGATTTTCTAAAATTAAACTGAATTGGTACTTTTGGTTGGGTTAAATCGATGATTACAGCGGTGTATGTTTTTGTTTTTTTTTTAAGCAATACTTATTAGTTCCCTATTTTATTGAATGGCTATTCACTCTTCTGTAATTAAACCAGCAGTAGATATTTAACATTTATACACATGGTTTAATGTTCAAAATAACTTCTATTATAACTCTCCTTTAAGTGTACATGCAGATGATTAAAATCCCGAGTATACTTAATATTGATTACATGAATTATTATTAATAAATATCTATAATTATTACACTAAGTATAGTTTTAGGTGTTTATAGTATTATCGTAGGTACGTGTATTATATGTATGTACCTATACACTATACTGCCACCATTATACAGGTCGAGTAGGTAATAGGTATACACTATACAGTGTACGGTATACTATATTATGTTAAATATACATAGCAAGTGTTCGGTAGATATAATAGTTCGAAATTACTTTTAGGGCAACACGTAAACATTTATCATTACGACTTACTACCTATTTATTTAAAATATCTAATATGACTCAGTAGATAATTTGAATAATATTAATAGTTATATAGAATGATGTTACGAATTTGCCTTAAATTTTATCATTACTCAAAAACAAAATAATTAACATACAACATAAAAATAACTAAATAAATAAGTAATACATTGCAGGATAAATGCGTCGATAAATAGTTAGTTACTATAGTTACTTACGAAGTATTAATAATGTATTAGTATTTACTATCATCTATTCAATGATTTAGAATTGAAGTCGATATTTATACATTTTTTAAATACAATACAATTTAAACGTGAGCATATTTTTATTGGTGATCTGCATAATTGTGTTATGCGTGACTATATTGTTTAGAAATTGAATGCAAATTTAAACATTGAATCAATTAAATTTTAATACAGGCCCACATCCGTTGTAAATTCGTAATGACATTGATTATAAATACTAAAATTATAATATAGTCCATACTATAATGATTATAAATAATATTCAATGATAATATCTATGATATTATGCGTTTAAAATAATATTATGAATTTCAATTTCGCAATGCATTTCAAAAACCGTTAGTACTTATATTTAATTTAAAATTAATACCTTGTTTTTTTTGTGCTCGGTTAACAAATAAGTATGAACGAGATTAACACTATTTATAAACATTCATTTATGTCATTTATAATGTTGATTAAAATAAAAAATAAGAATTATTGAACCCCTAATATTATATTGTAAAATGTCATGATAAAATGGGATAAAACGTATGTATATCGCATTACCCTACATATTGTTAGAATATATTCAAGTATTTTATTGGTTCTTACTTCTTTATATTAAGCATTTGTAGCCTATAGCAGTAGTTTTGTTTTACACTTGTGTTGGTAGGTAGGTAGTAGGTACCTATCACTAATCAGTAATTGGTAATGACTGTTGATAGTTATAATGCTAACAAAAAGGAACTATGTTACCAGTGGCGAAGCGTCATAGGAGACAACGAGACAAATCTATCCACTTGGAAATTACAACACAGGAAAAATGATTTTGTTTTATAAAATGATTACAAATTTGAACGTCATTTATATTAAATATGTATGTTTTAATATTTTTTTAAATCGGTTTTTTGTTGTACAAGTTAAAGCCTCATAAAATTCTTAAAATAGATTAGTTGTGCGCGATACGGCTGAACATACAGGTCATTCCAAATGTTATGGAAGGTATGATACCAGAGACGTCGCAGTGCAACGTCACCTAATTATTGGCACGCGGGTACAGGGGGAATTTTAATTTTAGTGGGGTTTACTATGTAGTATAATATACGCTATGAGACGTGTCTCGCTGTTCGTATTTCCTCAATTATCGACGTCGCCACTCGCCATCACATCCTGCAAATCGTGATAGCCGATAGGTATTACTCAGGTATTAGCATTGATTATAGAATAACCTAACCTAAATCAATGGTATTAGGTAACCTTCCTGTTTCTTAATATTTGTTGTTTTTATATTGTAATTTGTCTTCATGGATTATGTTTAATTAATGCCACTTTGAACGACGGAATTATAATTATTACTCATACGAAAAAAAATTTGAGTTAAACAAATAAAAGACTATGTTCCTAATTAAATTTAACGGCAGCTGCGAACTAAGGGAAAATCAATTCGAAAATTTTAATTTGTGTGGTATTCAAAATATAAATGACTCACTGGTAATCAAGTTAGAAATTAATTATATTGTTATTATTACCTATTATTAAGTCCAGGCGTATAAGTTTCATTTTTTTCAATGTCTCCTCAGCCAAAAACTCACGCCTCGTCACTGTATGCTACTAATTATTACTGTACAGACGGTTTAAACCCCCTCTCTTTACAACATAGAAAGTATTTAAATGTATTTTAAACATTTGAAACTACTAATATATTGTTTTACATTTTTTTAAAAATTTTTTTATTAATGATAGTAATAGATATTTGTGATTTTATTGATTATAACTAATAAAGTAAGACATTTCGTGAACTGTGCAAAGGTCGTGGCTGACAATTAATCATCATCGCAATAACAGTTATGTTATGGTGACAACTGATTAGACCGTGATTTAAAAGGGCGGTGGCCGTTTAGGTGAAGGAAATAGTTTTGACCAAAAAAATAATAGTTCGTTTGGGCGGCTATTATTTGTACCGTTTACGTTTGGACGAGTGAAATTATTTTTTGACTGTATATTACTACCTAACTATATGATATTATTATTTAGTATCAGTAGACAGAACTCCAGAAGTATGTAATTTTGGAAAAATGGTTATTATCGAACTTCGAAAAAAATCTTTATGTGCTTCTATAACATAACTTAATATTATGTAAGTTGTAAGTATAAATAATATTCAGAAAATGTATGCTGGAACTTAAAACTGAAAATTCTCCAGAATTCTTCATCTCTAGATATAAAATAATATTTTAAAACATTTATCTTCAACCTTGGTTTCTATCAAACATTCAAAGATCAGTCATATTATCGTAATTCAGTTTTCCGGGTTACGCGCTGGACACACAACTTGCTACGTTATCGCTCCTACAACTAATGTTGGTGCTCAATATAACACTATAACAGTTCATTATAGTATTATACTGTAGGTATCTACCTAGATGTGAAGGTCCCCTCACATGTGGTCCTCAAAATTTACTAATTAATTCTCCATTTGTCCTTCTATTGTACACAAGAGATTTTATTAAAATTACTTTTATAGTATCATGGTCTAAATTTTTTCAAAACTTACGCTCTTTCTCTGAAAATGTCTTCATAAGTTCATAATAAAATTCTTTCTTAATTACAGAGTGCCATTACATTTTAACTGTACTAGCTTATACAAGCTCTGCTCGTTTTTATTATTACAATAATATTTACAATAGTTTATGTTAAAATTGTATTAAATATATAAAATAAAAGTATAGTATAGTACATATTTTATACTGCAATAATATTATGATATTAAAAATATAAGGCCATAAATTATTATGCAATCATGAAATGAATTTTATAAATTTCACTTACAAAAGTATAGTTATTATTGGAAAAATTCCCAAACCGGGTAAAATATTTGAATATATAATTTTAAATATGTATTATGTTACAACAGAAATTCATGAATAAATTGATTAGTTATATATCAATATTATTTTGATTGATGTGGTACAAAACCTATCGTTATATTTCTACTACTTATTAGCTTGAATAATAAATCTTTTATTATAAAATGAATAACTAAAATATAAGAATATAGGAGTCTACTATATGCGGCTGACATTGGGTTCAATTATTTGGATGAGTGGAGTTTTAACTTTTAATTCAAGCTTGTAAAATGATAAATTTATTCAAACCGTTTTTTTTTCTTAACTAGTATTCAAAAGTAGACAAAAGGACATCGGTTCATTTAATATTAAATTGACCATTTTTAAATAATGGACAGTAAGTACAATTTACAATATGAATGATACACAAACACACATATATATACGTATAATAGAATAGAAACCAAATATCTGACATATTTTTCTTTATACAATTAAGATAAGATAAATAATTATATTTGTACCTATATGTAATAATAATAATAAATATAATAGGTATAAATTGAATCATTTAAGCAATTCTACATTATTCATCATATTCTCGTTCAATAGAATAATTAATTATTTATGTTTTCCATCGAAAAAAATAGATTTTTCAAGATCAGATAAATCATTAAAACACGATATATTGAATTTGTCTGTGTTAGTTTAATCTTTTCGACTTCTTATATATAAAAAAAAAAAAATATATTAATACACGATTATAGTATTATACATTTAATTTGAGTTTATACCAATAACTATTTATAATATCTTATAAATTGTATTCTATATTGTAGCATTGTTATTAGTTAAAACAATATTAAGTACATATTTAATTATGACGTAAAAATAGAATCGGGAAAGTTCTCTAACTTAAAATTACTTATTAAATATTATATAACATATTATCTCCTTACCTTTTATTTGTTTTACAGACAAATTGAAATATCTACTCAGAACTCAGTACATTGTATTGAGTGCTATGAAATAATCACTTTCACTAAAATATAGAGTCACAGAAAACAGAGAAATTATTTTTGCATAGTATTTTACTGTGTTTTTAACGTACAAATACTGTTATTATTTTATATCGTATCTATTATACGATTAAGTATTTCAAATCATAAGATTCGCAGAATACGTCTTACAACTATGACACGCGCTAAACTGTTAGCAACAATAGCAACTGACAATATTTCGTCGTTATTCGATTTAATTACTTATACAGACACTACATAGTTTCTAAAATACAGCGTATGTATATAAACTGTATAATTGACATATATTCTATGATAGCTGATATACTTATATAATCGAAGGTCAAACTGTGAAACTGTTGCATACAGTGGTATATACATATACTGTACTGATTGTACATAATATACATAATATATAATATCTGTACTGGATTTAAATTTTAAATATACTGTAACGAAAAAAAAAAATCTGAATTTATAAAATAGTTTAAAATGTTTAGATAATAATATAATGTATCGTGTAGTATGATGAAGGATGGGCAATAGTCCCACTTAAAATTCTGTACTTTTAGATACAAGATACCAAGATACTTAGGAATATTATAACTGGTTATAAATTATAATTAACGATTATTTATATTTATTTTGCCAACAAGAATAATGGCAATAGGTAGGTGTTATAAATAAATTATTTTTCGTGTGAGATTATATGAGAAAAATGTAGGTATATTATATTACCCATACTTAAAGTTAAAATAGTTAATATTGACATTTATTAAAACATCGGTTATGACTTATGAGTAACGTGGCTATATTTTTTTTTCTTCAAAGCGGGACACCTGTATATTTTAATAAGAAAACCACATTATTTTGCGAAAAATAACAATTTTTTTACTGGAAAAAAAAACATAAACTATTTATATAAAAAACGGCAACAGAAAAACGGAACTAATATATTAATAAGTATAATAATAATAATAATAATAATAATAATAATAAATAATGTAAAAATAAATAATAGAGTATATTATTCGGCCGTATTTCATTTATCGCCAATTCCCGTAGTTGACGTGGTGGCAGCTACAATAACAATAAGGTAGTTATTTTTGTACCATTTTGATCTATGTACCATGGATTATGGGTTTTAGTGTTTTACGTAATACACATATACTTGTATATATATTACGTAGTTATACTATACGTCTATACAGTATAAATGTATAAATAATGTATGATTGTGATTTGTGATCAATAAACACTTACCACAAGTCGACTTTTCTTAAAGCGGGACATTTTTAGGTTCTTTGGGGACAGCGGGACACTTGGTTCGAAAGCGGGACGTATGGTCACGTTAGTTATGAGTTATAATATGTATAATAGATTGTATAATATTACAAAAATAAAATTGAAATATGTAGGTAGGTACAACACACGTTTAGTGTTTACCAAAATAAATATTTTTAATTTAATATTTAAAGTTTGATTTAAAAATAAAAAAATATTTTAATAATAATATAAAATGATGCATTTCATTACTATTTTTGAATAATTATTAATTTTTAGAAGTTAATTCCCAAATAAATGTGTCTTGTTTTATATATATATATAAAAAAAAATAATAAAAATAATAGTTGTATGTTATTTGAAATATTGAACATAGGCACTGCATATTATTATTTAAGATTTTTATAGTATATATTATATTATGTATTCAATTTGCACATATTTTATTGTTATTTTAGCATATACGATTTAGAGCTCTGGATTAATAAATATTAGTAATAATCATTGATTTGATAAATATTATTTAAATATTTAACTAATGTACAATTGCGTCGTTGATAATATTTATGTTTCAATGTTTCATCAAAAAAAGCTAAAAGTAAAATGTACAGAAAATATTGATTTAAACTTTGATTCGTAACAATAGATTTATGACCATCTATGTACAATGTACATAGTACAAAAGTTGTTCTTAAGTCATCACGAAACTTAATTTGTACCAAATTTTAAAATTATATAAATAATAAACATATAATTGGTACAGTGCACTGTGCCACTGCTTATAGTTTATATAATATGTATACGTATAACTATGACTAAATTAAATAATTTTTTTTTTGTTTTTTAAAAATTGAAGGAAGAATTTATCTAGTGATGAAACTTCACGGCAACGAAAAATGGTTTTTAAATATTTAAATGGTCCAGTATTGTTTATTTTTTTGTTAAGAACTAAATTTCAGAGTAGAGGATAGTTAAATAGACTTGACTGGATTAAGTTCATAGATTGTTTTGATTATGTATGATACTGTTGGAATTAAGAAGTCATTATAGAGCAGCGGTTGGCAACCTTTAAGACTTCACGGACCATTTATACTCATAAGTCTTGAATGCCAAATTAAAAAAAATAAATAAATAAACGCATATTTTATAATATATAAATAAAGCGGTTTTTTATTTATAACAAAATTATTTAAGTTAACTTAATTATTATTGATTAGAATGATTATAAAAAGAAAAAAACAAAAGTTAAAATGAAGACTGGATTCGAATCATTGGTGTCTTAAAACGTATTGCGATAACGATATTTGGTCTATCTATTTTATTGCACAGAATGATAATAACACGATTATTTTTCGTTTATTCTTATTTGTTGTAAACTGAACCTACGTACAGCGACATTATACAATACTTTTGTATATTACTATTATAAACACAACATTACAAATAATGTTCACATTTTTCTGTGGACCATCAAATTCTTACTATGGACCACCGGTTGGCGACTTCTGTATAGAGTGTAATGTTTGAGACATAAGAATGAACTTTAGTAAGTTTTTGTATTTGATAATTGGTGGTTTAACTGAACATCAGGGTTGTATAGTGTATGATTATTTTGGACTCAAAAATGTCTAAATAGGTCATTACTTATTATTATTGTTCAGATATAATATGCGTTTAGATGTTCGGAGGAATTGATAGGATTAGTTGTTCAGAACAATTTTCTTGGTATAGATATTGGATATGATGAAATAAATTAAATAAATAGTAGTAATAATAAAATGAATATATTTTATTCATTACCAAAATTACTCGACAGTTCTTAAACAGTAATTTAAGTATAGCCAGTATAGGCAAGTAGTTTTTTTTTTTTTAGTAAATAATTATTCAAATGTATATCATTATGGTTTTCCATCTAATAAAATACATTTAAATAACTATAATAAATGTATTTACACAATTTAAAAGTTTTATTAAACGATCGCCACTAAAAATAAGTGTGTACAAAAATCAATTGTAGTTTAAGGAAAAAAAAAATCAAATTGAGAAAGCCACTTAAAATTTAAAACAGTTGCTAAATTTTATAGAATTAGTGTTTTTTATATCTTCTAGAGTATTTGATAGTACTGCCTTCTTTGTTTCGGGTAACACCAAAACCATGCTTGAAACAAAGATACCAAATATTCCACATACAGTACTTGGAATATACCATGCTTTACCTCCCTTTAATAATAAAAAATATCAATGAAATGTTAAAAAATGTAATTTTAAATATGTAATTAAATATCGTAATCATGCACGATTATCACTTGTCATTATTTGTATATACCAAAAGTTCGACTATATATGGTGCAATAATAGATCCTATTTGAGAAAAAGTCAATGACATTCCGATTCCAGTATTTCTAATTGTAGTTGGATATAATTCTGATACGAAGAGTATAATGATTGAAAATAAGGCACTCACAAAAAATTTCGCAATCAAGGTCACGCATAATAAAATGTATGCTTTTTCTGAGAACAAAAAAATTAAATAGGAATTATATATTATTTTATAATAGCTAAAACAATTAATGTTTTAAATATATTTAATATCCTGAATTACCCCGTGGAATCGCCAATAATATCAATTGCAATATTCCTGATATGAAAAAAAAGGATGAAACTGCTTTCTTGCGTCCAACATAAAGTAATAAAGGAACAGTAAACGCGTATGATACACCTTCAACAACTCCGTTTAATGCAACATATACGTAACGATTAGCAGTTATATTATCCCCATTCAATGCTAATTAATAAAAAAATGGTATAATTAATAAGTTTTCTTTAAAAAATGATAAAATATTTTAAGAATTTATGTGCAGTATTTATTTTAGAATATTTAAGATTATAATAAATCAATAAAATATAAAATACGTTTATTTTTTTACATTGTAGATATATCATATACTATTTATTTTCTGATCCAACTTACCAATAACGTAATACGATAAGCCACAAGATAATCCACAAAATGAAGAAATAACTGTTTTTGCTGTCAAATCCGAAGTAGAAAACAATAACGTATAAGCTGATAAAAACTCCATACATTTTCCATTACACTTTTTTGTCTACTTTTTTTGAACAAAATATATTTATTTATAAAAGTGATCATTAAAAATTTACCCAAAAAATATAAGATTAATGAATGTAAATAATATGTTATAGTATAGTGTAAATTATAAATAAAACTGTATGATATAATAATGCAATTACTAACTATTTTCATACAATACAAGGTAATTCATCATATACAAAGTAAATACTTAAGTACTCGAAATTTTTCGAAATGTATTAAGATTTTTGAAAATATACTTGTTTTTATATAATTTATTAAGTTATTACAAAATAAAATATTAAAAAAAAATATGTATTGTTTTTTAAACGACATTATGCAACTTTAATTTTAAGCAGATTATTTATCTGAGAATTTTAATATGAAAAAAAATTGAGTTTGGAACGATTACGTAATTAGTTATAATAAGTGGGATAACTTTAAAAATATTTAATTTTTAAACAATTGAAGGGTTTAAACACAGAAAAACGTTGGTTCTCTACCCAGTATTTTAAGTACTTAAAAGTTTTAACTAATTAATAATAAAAATAAAAATAATAAATTAATGATTTCAATTAAAAAATTTTAATTGACAAACCTTCTTAATTTGTACATTATCTTGATCATCATTATCAGTGTTTGCACCAACTACAGTTGGAACAAGTTTAGCCATTATTATCAGAGCTTGTTTTTTTCTACCTTGAGAAATCAACCATTTAGGAGATTCAGGTAGAAACCTAAGTATTGCGTAAATATTTACATTAATATTAGTAATTATTTATTAGACAAAAAATGAAATAAACATTCACATATTATTTAAATATTTATAAACTTGTGTAAAATAAAAAGTAAATTATTATCTTGTAGTAGTTAATTGTTACCAGCATTGTATCAACAATCCAAAAATGGGCAAAGACAAAACTAAAAGCAATATTCTCCAAGGCCGTACATAATAAGCAATGATTGATAGCAAAACATAACCAATTGGATACGACATATTCATTAAAAGACAAAGTAATGTACGAGTTTTACCACTTGTCAGCTCAGTCACTATAATTAACAAAAAGTTTAAACTTTACTAACATAGAGTATTATTTATTTAAAATTTTAAAATTAATCTATTTTATTATTACATATTGTATACGATGATTCATAAATTCCAGATCCAGCTACACCTATCAAGAATCTCGCAATTAAAAATAATACATATGAATCAATAAATGCAGCAGATGGTCCCGAGAGCATGTAAATAAAAGCTGACAAATTGAAAGCAAATTTTCTGCCATATACATCTGAAATTGAACCAAATAATAGTCCACCAAAAAACTTTCCAAAAGCCAAAGCAGCTTGAATATTTGACTTTTTCGCTACATTATCACAAACTAAATCCCACTAAAACATTTTACAGATTACAGTAAAATAAAATATTATAGGTATCTAATTTCAGATATTATTATTGATTTGAAAAAATATTTACGTACTTCAGTCACAACAGATTCTCTGTTACTATATTCATAATACTGACAAGGTTTAGAATTGGCAGTTTCTAAATTATTCATTGACCAATTATAACCATTTTTGGCAAATATTGAATAATTTCGGTCGTAATAAGAACATTCTTCAATTTTGTCTGATGAATAATTTTGATGTCTAAAAATTAATATAAATCAATAATTTGTACGGTTATGAAAGTGCCTACATATTGTCTTTCTATACTCGTAGTTGCAGAGTTATTTCATATTTCTCTGTTAGATTATTTAAGTAAGTGTTAAATATTAGAACAGCAGTGCAGGTGTAGATTAAAATGTTTAAAAGTGATTTATTTAAAAATTTGTCCTTAGGAATTTACCATTATAGTAAAAAAATAATATCAATATCAACAATAAAATGATCATACTTCTATTTTTGTTAAAAATTTAACTACAATTGGAAAAAAATATATATATATTTCATTAAAACAATTTTAACACCATAAAATAAATAACCGTTTATGGGAAATCGTGTCAAGTGCTGACATCGCACAAGAAGTCAATTTTACAATTGATTAAGTGTTGAGCGCAAAAATAATAGATCATTGTTACTCATTAAAGTAGAAGTGAAGCTAGGTGTTTGACTAAAAAAAGACTTGACCTCGATGTTGCATTGTCACTATATTAACTTTTTTTTTGATATATATATATATATAACTAACGTATTAATGGAAATACATCCATAGATATAGTCGATATAGATAGCCATAGGCTAAGAATGTCTTATTTTATTAAAATAAAACAAAAAAAAAAAAAAAAAAAATGGAAATATATTTGATGTGTGATCCAAATCTAATAGCAATACTGAAATCGGGATTAAAATACACATATGGGTACTCGTCATCTATACTTTGACCACTAACCACCGATCACTACGTATTGCAGAGTTGTAAGGCTCTTAAAAAAATAATAATACCTAACGATGATAATTCAAGTTTTTATACAGTTATTTTAGATATCTGCCTAACTTGCCTAGTCTTGGCTTATAGTAGTATTTTTTGTTTCAAACCAGTCAGACTTGAAATTCTGTACTAGCTTTGAATAGTCTTACGTATAATATCACATTGATTTACAGATATACTTATAAACAGAAGTATAATCATACTGTCCATATACCTACAGTGACTGTAGTATAAATATATATATATATGTGTACCTACTTGATTCATTATGGGTTATCTAACTTAAAAAAATATGCTTATTTAATCTTACGGCGTGGAAATATTAATGATCGTCTGGTCGCTCCAACCTGCCAATTTTAGATCTGGTACATCGCACCAATACGAAGGTTTGTCAACTAGGAACACGTACGACGATATCTGTATGGCATTGAATATCCCGGGTGTGCTCACCATCAACAACAAGACGAAAACCTGCCACCGTTGTCTGGAATAGCTGTCGATGTATTTGTCCAGATCATCAGCCATTATACTGCAGCTCGAAGAGCATAATATAATTAGTATGCAAATAGTATATATAGCCGTGTATAGTAATAATGTTTATAGGAATGATACAATAAAATTGAGTTGTTCGGATAGACGTGAGATGATCACGATCGCAAGAAATTTCCGTAATCGTCGCGATCATCGTGGTCGTATGAAAAAGTTAAAAAAAAAAAAATAAATAAAAATACCAAAAAATGTGAACCGGATATACTAATACGTATAGAATGTGTACACGTTCTCCAGATTATTTACGTGGAATAGGTAACAATTAATAATTGTCTTTATTATTATTATTATTATTATATTATTTATTAATTAAAACGACATGTACAACAAGATGTTATGTACTCTGTTAACTGACCGAACAATTACTGAGGCACTGCGCGCGCATTGCAGTTCCCTTACACTGTTAATTTAAAGCAATCACTTTACCTATACTTATAAACTATACATAATATGTTATGTACGATAGGTGTTCCCCCGATAAACATCAATTTAATAATATTATATTTTTTTTCGACTATACACGTAATAGTATTATATGCGTCACCAGGACGTAGTCTATTAACATTCAAAATATAATATGTACGTGTAAATCTATTTTAATTGAGCTGTTATGTACACATTACCAACTTAATACTTATATTATGTTTTCTGCTAAGAACCGTTTCCGCGTGGTACTTGGTTCGTCTTGGACTCGTAAACTTCGTACGCAACAACCATTGGTGGGGAGGGTGTGATGTTGCGTGTATGCAGACCTTGGATAAGGTAATATAGACTGTACGTATTTGAGTAGGTATTCATTAAATTATTAGTTGGTAAATTTCAGGTGGCGTTTAGTACAATCATCTGTAATGTTTGACGACGATATTAATATATAGCTAAGTCACAAATGGTGACGTTGGTCGTTGACACGGGGGGAATGGTACCGAGTAAAAAAAAAAAACACAATTTTTCTTTTTCTGTTGAAAACGTAGTGAATACCTACATGTATTAAAGTCCTGGTAAAATAACTGACTCAAATTTTTTTTGTGTTACTAGGAATTATATTCAACAAGAGATGGCGTTAGTCGTTAGTCTACGTGATTTGGCTTGGAAACGGTACTAAGTTATCTAACGTGTTTATCAATCTATGTCATTTGCGTTGATACAAAAATTGTTATGAACTATTACCTAATATCGGTATTTAATTATGACGTATACTATTATGGATTTTCACCTCCCCAGAGTTCAACAAATGCCTACAATCATAATGTTTAACTCTATTTTATAAATTACAAAATATGGATATGATTGAATATTTAATAATGGTTAGTAGTTATTAATTAATTATTATACTTGTCTAAAAAATTACAAAAGATTTTATTCGCATATTTATTTCAAAACAAATGTCTATAGGTGCAATGTTCGTAACCACGGCTTAAAAGTTATATTGAAAGTTCAATCCAGTTTATAATCTGTAGAGTTAAGAGTCTAAACAGTAGATTTATTTCTATCTAGATTCTTAAGTTTATATTAAAGACCAGGGCCGCGGTAATCCAAGTGCAAAAGGAGCATTTGCTCCTAGCGGTAAAAGAAGTAAACCACCTATTTTAAAGTAAAATGTAAAATTAGTTTTTTATACATATTTTTTTTAGTTCAATATCTAAGAAAATTTTTCAAAATAAGTTTAAATCATTTCAATATCAACTTTGTATTTTTCATTAAAACTTTACTTAAAATATTGTAAATTGTCTCATTCCTATATTAAGTATTGAACTATACATATATTAAACGAATCACACATTCACATCTAATGGTGGATATGAAATTTCTAAGTTCAAAACTTATTCCTTCACTTAGATATTGCATGAAACGTGTTTAAAAAAAAAAAAAAAACTGGTTTTCGGAGCCTTTTTTTGTAAAATTTTTGAAAATCATACTAATGATTACATAAAAAGATAAAGAAAAAGTGCATCTAACGTTTAAGCATATTTCTAACGACTTTTTAAACATCCTTCTAAACTAAAAAAGCATAATATTTGAGTATTAAAAAAAAAAACAGGCAAAAAGTGACAGTGGGCCATTTTCTAAAAAAAATTGTTTATTTTCCTCTTTTTTTTTGTACTCATAGTTTTCTGACATCACATCTAATGCACACAAATCATTATTAAAACACAATATATTTGTAAATAATATTTAATTACATTTAGATATGTATTATGAGAATCAAGTAGGGTATAACCTCTGTGAAATTAAGAAGCGATGAGAAAATTGTATTTTATTCGTGTGATGCGCTCTGGAAGGCCGTTAATCTGAATCGCTTGTCCGTATGATACTGCCGGTAGATGGCTATATTTTTATTATTATATATTGAAAGCTATAGTAATTCGGCTTTTTGTAATATAATAATGTAAAAAACATAGTAATATTATATCAATACAATATTTTAATATTTTTGTTCAATTATGCAATCGTCTATAAATATTCATCAACATTTTGAAATTTTTATATTTTATGTAATTTTAGCTGCATCTCTCATGAAAAATTTAATATTTATCTTGTTTTTCGTAACAATTGAAATACTTATTGGGGGTTTAAGTTCACGCAGACCGTTTCTTTATATGGTTCCTCAGACTTTAAACCGGTATGTACGTTTAACTCGTTTTTTAGACATCGAATTACTTCATTAACTTTTCAATTTTTATTCAGTTAAGCTTAAATATAAAAAAGGTAGGCAAATGAGTAATCACTCTACTGTAAATTATGTGTCGCGTAGGTTACTATCATGAGTATGCTAAATTTTAATTCCATAAAATATCATTATATATCATCTATCAGTTTATATCGCTAAGTATATTTCATAATATGTTTTTTGGTTGAAAATTGTTATGAGAATCTTGAAACAGTTAATAAACTACGTAACTTAGAATAACATATTTGGATAGGATGTATTAGATTGAAGTGTTTGCTCCGAAATTTACACTGAGTACCTATGTATTGAATTATAGATATGCATTTCAATATAAAAATTATTTCACGTATATCTGCAAATGTCTCGTATGCATCAAATCTTGGTCTGCTTACCTAAGTATTAGCGTATCAATATTTGACGTTTTTTACTCTACAGATTAAATCATTAAATGTACTTATATGATAAAATGTATAAATATAATATATTTTTAATATATTTATATACATATACCCAATGATATTAGCTATGAAATATAAATCTGCAAGAATTTTAAAATCTAGCTCTTAAATTGTTACTTTATTAAATTGCATTAAATAATAATTCTGTAAACATTTGAACTTAATGAATCAATTTATTTCTGTGTTAAAATAAGTTTTTTTTTTTTATCATATGGCGCTTATGTCCGGGAGTAGGCCCGAAGGCCTATAGTTCGGACGCCTATATATAAGAGTTGATGTATAAGAAGTGAGATTTCTTTTAAAGGTTTATATAATTAATTTCAATACATATATATATAAAAAAAAAAAACATAGAACATTAAAGTAATCTTTAAAAATAATAATAACTAGAAAAAGTAATCAGTGATATATTTTTTATTTTTCTATATACTTACATACTCATACACTAGAATTAAATACCATTTGATTTTTGTGATTTTCTAATTAAAATATGAACACGCTAAAAATAAATTGAATGTATTGTATTATATATTTTATAATTCAGTACTGTAGGTGTTAAAAATAAATGTAAGGAAGAATAGAATATAATCCTATAAGTCATTGTTTTTTTTTGTCAGAACAAAAAATAGTAAAACTCCTTATAAAATACAATTTATTCTAAAAGGGAGGAAAACAAGTATTTCTATATTCATTTTCTTCTTGGTATACTCCGTGGTGTGTTATAAAAGCTTTGGAGGGGGAAGGTCCAGTTAAAATGTAATTTCCTTGAATACAAGATCCGGTGCTGTTGACAAGTGTGGCCGTAAATTCAAATTTTCGTGTTTTCGTCAGAAAACGTATTACATTCAACTAAATTAGCTATGCGTACCTACAGTTTTTGAATTTATTTTTTTTTTGTTTGTGTAAATTGAGCCTATAATACAACTTTCATTAATTCGTACAGTCACTAACACGCGGTATAATAAACTACATTCAATAATGCACTATCCCAGTGAATGAATTGATGATTGATCATAATTTAGTGCGTTTTCTCATACACGTAGTTATATAGGTAGTCATGTATAAGTTTATTAATTAAAAAACTGTTGAAAAAAATTTGAATTACAAAGAGACATATAGAGGTTGTTAGTTATTTCTTAGTGAATACAAAGAACATCGTTTTTTAGTTCTACAACTTAATGTTTTTGTTCAATTAAAATAACTGGTCGATTTTTTAAAATCGATTTTAAACTTTTTAATTGTATTTTAAAATGTGAGCACAGAAAATTCTGGAACAGCTAGAATTTCAAAAACAGAAATTCATTTATTTCAAACACTCATTTAGTTTTTATGCCTGTTTTTTTTTCCTGTAGGTACCTACATTTTGTACGTTGCTATAATACTTGTTATAAGAAATTCATCATATGAACTTTTTTATGGATTAGGCCAGTAATTGAAGACAAATATTTTTTTTTATTGTTCTTAAAATATCTAATGTTATAGGAGTATTTTTTTCAAATCGAAAACACGGTTGTTCCTGTCCACCTGTCCATCGTTTTTACTGCTTCAAAAAGGGTTTATGTCAGAAAAAATTATATCGCAAATAAAATTGCAAAATCGTACCTCACAGCTCACGCAGTTCAATTTTTATATTGTGTTCATCGTGTAAAGAATCGAATAATAATAATAATATAATAGTCGTGGTCACCGTGCAGAACGCTAATCATAGATAAACTGTATAATTCTCATTACATTTTCCCAAAGACAAACAAACAGCTCACACTGTTTTCTACTCGTATTATTAATAAGTTTTTCGCCACAAAAGCGATTGTTATTAACGTGGTTTAATGCGCATACAAGGATTTGAAGTTAGCCATATAGGCCATCCTATTAACACGTTTGCTGCGGGATGACGCTTCGAGGCTAATGTGGTTGTTCCAATGTGCGGATGATGTCTTAAGGTGTCATTTATTTTCAATTAGTTTTAATTTAGCTAGCACCGGGGTGCGTGTATACAAAATTAAGCCGCAGCGAACGTGTTAATATTATGATAATGTAAATAATAATAACAGATTGTGATAGATATAGATAGTTCGGAATACCGTAATTGCAGTTAATAGTTCGTGAAATGCAGTTTACATGGTATATACAAAGAATGTTTTTTTTTGTTCGACTAAAAGAATTTTTTTTTTTTGTTTGGCCTATTATTTCGGTATGAGTAAAATAATAATAAAATAAGTAGTGAGTATATGTAGGTACCTATATT